CACAGAAAATAATAGTATATATATATATATATATATATATATATATATGTGTGTGTGTGTATATATATGTTTTTTCTTTGTTTTATTTTTACGAGCGGCTTCGATTCGAGGAGGGATCTCGCGATCCGATCCTCGGCCCTGAGCGACTCGTCGCTGGGCGAGAGAGTAGGGACTGCTCTAACCCGCGCAATAATTTCCCCCTTATTAGCCCGTCGCCCGCGTCGCGATCGATCGAACGTGGATCTCCGCGATCGCGTCTCCGCTCGGTGGTTATGGCAACGCGCGACGCCGCCGGATCTCTCTCGCGAGGACGGTAGAGCGCGAAGAGGCCCGCAGCATGGGAACCGCGAGACGGTACATACATACGGGGCGTCCTGGCATTAGAGCCACACGCGCGTCGCTCTATCTCCCCCCCCCCCCCTCCCCGCCGCCCGTCTCGCCGCCTCGTCTCTTTCGTTCTCGGTTTCTCTCATGTGTCAACACGTTTCCGACGCCCACGATGAGTGACGCATGCGCCTCGCGCAACCTTATCAGTCCCTCGCTCTATCTTCCTCCTCCCTCTCTCTACACTGCCACCTCCTTTTGTCCCTTTCTCTCGTTCTCTTTCGAAATACAAGGTGTCCCGTGGGTTCCCCCTTTCGTATGCTCTGGGTTTCTAATTTCTACTACTGTTTTTCCCAACAGAATTATCGAAGCAGTTTCTTGATATTTTATGGGAGAATAAAAATTTCATGTGAGATAAACTTCAAAAATAAATATAAAGCAGTATCTTTTAGTTTTTTTTTGTACAAGTTTAATTAATTAAACTATTTGAGGGGAATTTGTATGTGAAAGAAAGCACGTCGATGTAAGTCACTCTGAAACACAGAAACTCATTTATTAATCTTGAGCATTGATTTTCGTAAAGGGAGATGTTAGAAAGCACGCCAATAATTGCTATTGTAAGTTGTTACTGCATGAAGTAGAGAATGCATTAATAAATTTTTTTCTCTTCCTTTACTTTTTCCCTGTGTCATTACTTTCCTCTTAGTTCCCTTCTCGTCCTTTTCCGGTCGCTCGTTCCTGCCTTTTCTACGAGTACCCTCTTCCCTGTCTCACTGTTGAACTAGCAAGCACGGAATTTTCTAATTTACAAGGGTGCATAGACGATGCGGGTCGTCGACACGGCAACATCTTCGATGTCACTTGTAGAACGTATTGTCGGCGAGAAAAATGTCAGATATTGGCAGTCGCGCACTTAGGATATTCTTCCGTCGATACGGCCCTGTCCCGAAAATGTAAATCTAATCGCTCCCTCTCTCCTTATCCTTCTAGCCTTCTTCTTTTTTTTATCTCTCCCCTCAGTAACAAATTTTACCTCTCAGGAATCTTGTTCTATGACCTGTAATCAAAATTATATTTTTTTTTCTTTTCAAATACAGAGTAGTCTTAATGGCTGTTATATTTATTGAAAAATCTTTTCGATGTTATATTTTATCTAGTATTGCTATAAATACACAGAAATGTTCCTTACATTTGCTTATAATATACATAAAATTTTTATATCGGTAGCGTTGACATTTGAATTAAGAGATTAACTGTTTAGAATTTTTGATGTTTATATTAAGAAAAGAAGCATGATCGAAAAAAAGTATGATCGAATCTCGCAAAATGTTGTCTCTCAGCTTCTTAACAATCGTGCTCAAAAGTCACTCGACGATAAGTCCGTCACTGCTCTTCTCCCTCCTTTCTCCCTCCCTCCCACTCTCCTTATACCATCACCCTCGTTCGTACGATACAGCCTTTCCCCTCCTCTTCCGTTCCCATTGCACACACCAATTTTCCAATTGATAAGGGTGCATAGTTGATACAGAGTGGAGCAACCCTATCCATCTACATCTCGCTTTATCTTCCTCGCTCATCTCTCTCCTCCCCCCTCTCTCTCTCTCTCCTCTCTCTCTCTCTCTCTCTCTCTCTCTCTCTCTCTCTCTCTCTCTCTCTCTCTCTCTCTCTCTCTCTCACACACACACACACACACACACACACACACACACACACACACACATTCTGCTCGGTACGCGGTGTTCAAAGGCGAGTCGTGACAAAGAGAGAAAGAGAGAGAGGCGAGAGAATGAAAGGCAGACGGAGAGAAAGTAAAGGAGAAAGAGCATCTCGTGTTTTTGTCGCCCGACGGACAGCAGCTGCGTCGCGCGATGCCCGAGTCGCAAGCGCGGCTTGTGTTGATTTTGGCTTAACCGGAGTTATCAGCGTGCGCTCGATGTGCTCCGGCCATGATACCGTCTGGCCTGACGCTTTCGTCTACGACGAGAGAACGGCGCTGCGCAGATGGTGGACGCGTGCGATCGCGATATATAGGCGATATATACGCGTATACAGACGGGTGTTACGGTATCTAACGTCCGCGATATAATTTCGAGTAGGAGATTCTACGACGATAAGAGCGCGGACAAAATTCCCGACGGAATTCGTCCGCGGAGTGGAAAAGTGAACGCAGCGAGAGAAAGAGTCGCTCGCTCGACATTGTTCGACGAGCGACTCTCTGGGCGAGAGCCGCTTAACGATCACGGCGCGCCTCTACGCGAATTCACGCATCTCTTTTAAGTACTCCGAAAACAAAAAATGCTTGAACGACAGTGGAAAATTATACGAACAAATGCATAAAAATTATATGTATACATTCCGTTAAATTTATTATTAAACGTAGATCCATTGCGAATCGTATAAATTTTACACCTGTTGTTCACGTAATTTCACATACCCTTTTACCCGAGTAGAAAGAGAACGCAACTTTTTGTTAACTCCCGATTTTCCCCGTGGCAAGCGAATCATCACATTCTGAGTTGGTGGAATTAAAAAGGCGCATGCGTTAAGCTGGATCAAGACCGAGCAAACGAGCGCGAACAAACACGAATAAACAATAAACTTGCTTCAACGAACATAGTCGGTGCTACAAGTACGAACAAAACAGAATATATATCAAATACGTTTTATCTCCATTCGATATATAATATTAAAGAGAAAGAGCTTATTATATTTGTAAATATTTCGCATTTCATCTTTACTGGTTTGGTTTTGAATTAATAAATTTGGATATGTTCGATGATTCGGATAAGCTCCAAAATATTTCTAACTCAAATTATTTATTATATCTAGGTTATTAACAATCTGTAATCGTGTTTACAGCTTAGACTTTGAACTTTATGAACGTCTTACTCAACTCGAAAGTCGTACTCGAGAGCGTCCGTTCTCTCTTCGGGATTCGCTTTTCCTTCCCATCTGCCTCTCCGTGCAGCCATCGTTGCTTTTCGCGGTGGCTTATGGGAAAGAAACACGATTGACCTTCTCTGAGGTAGGATATTAATCTGAGAAGGCAAAAGATCAAGGAGCTGAGATCAGCATGAGATTTTAGGGAAGTTCAGCTCACGCGAAGTGATATTTTATACTTCTGCGTATGCGACGCGCGTACGAAAATTCACGCGGCAGAAATCACATTGGGAGAAAAACGCGGACTAATCTTCTCCGAGATGAGATATTTCTTAATCTGTGGAGGCGAAAGATCAAGGCAGATGGGAAGGAAAAGCGAATCTGAAATCAATTTTAGCGATTTTAGAGAAGTTTTAACTGTCGCGCGGGGTGATTTTATACTTCCGCGTATGCGCGAGGCGCGTACGAAAATTCTCGCGGCAGAGATCACATTGGCGCGTCGCGGCCACAAGAATCTAATCTCGCAAAACGATAACGCGATTTCAAATAGACGCTTCTCGGTATCTTCACGGTATCCTTCGCGCGTACAGGCGCGTCGTGGAGTGTGTTTACTCGACTTCCTCAGGGCTGTGTCAGCGGAGCGCGTGAACCCCCGTGTGGGTGCGGCCTTTGGGAAGAAGGAGCTCGCCAATGCGGCGCTCTCTTCCAGAGTAGGTCCTACCTTCCCTTTTTCCCTTTCTTATTCTTCTCTCTTTCACATTCGACGGTCCCTTCGGTCGTCGCGCTCACGGTTTCAGCACCAGCACTCCCTCCCGTAAGCTCGCCCCTATCTTCCTTCCTCTCTGTTACCCTCGTGGAGATATTAAACCCCGTGGCGTCCCAGGGCTGTACGTTTGTAGGATTGGAACTCGCAGGAGATTATTCGAATGTAATCTTGATACGACATATAGCTATCGACAAGTTTATCCGACAAAAATTTCACGTTAAAAAATCTTATATTATTTCTTAGTTTATCACAACGCGTTGACAACGACTATTAATTTTTAAATCCTTTACGTGTGATGCGAATGATACTGCAATAATATAATAACTTTATTATGTTCATATATTAAATTTACAACCTACTAAAATTCGACATAATTTTTGCAAGAAGAGATTACTGCATTCGTTAATATGTAAAATTAATATCATTGATTTAACTACAATCAACGGCCATCAATGCTTCGATCCTGAATGTGATATATAAAACATGCATTTACTCGCGTGTTGCAACGTGATGTTTCACGTGGCAAGACAAGGCGACTGATTTTTTAATACTTTCTTTAAAATTTTGTATGTAGTATTCGTTCCACGATTATTTTATGTTCCACGGAATATTTCATGACTAAAACTTTTGGAATTGCGAAATTTTTTTTACATCCTCCAAAACGATAATTCAAAACGACGATATGTTAGACAATTTAAAAAATGATAAGGATTTCTGAAATTTTAACATTCGTATTCAAAATGTATAATAATTAGTATTTGAAAATATATTTTACTTTTAAATTGTCTAGCAAACCAGAATTTCTGTTTTTGATATCGAGAAAATGTTGATATCGAATATTAAATAATTCTATAATTGGATATCAGTTTAACTCTTTCCGCGCAATGAAAATCGATTTTGAACTTTTCTTATCTACTTTGATCTTTTTCCTAAATCGGTTTTTTTTGCAAATATAGCGATTTTTTTAAATAAAACAAAAGACTTATCAAAACGACAGCGCTCGATGTAAAAAATAATAAACTCCAAGCTGAGAATGTGATTGGAAAGTAAAGTGGCGTTAATTAAGAGTTCGCTAATAATAATAATTTGCATTCCGTATTAATTAATTTACGATTAACTATTGCGAGATGCGTGCGATTTATGGAGCTCTGTATTCAGCGTCGTTGCACACTTGACAATAGAATGGCTGTGCGGCGTGTTATTTGTGTCAGTGATAGGAAATATATAGATACATCGGATGGAGATATATTTCGGTAATATAACTTGGATAAGAAAGTTTTTAGCGTCTGTTCCAATTGTTGCACCGTTGCGACCGCCACAATTCGACTGGGACGTAATATCGTTTTGCGCATACATGGTATTCTACTTTCTAACGATCACGAAGCTCAGTTCCCACGAGTATCAACGAGTATCGTTAATTTTATTTATCAAAGTCGTTAATCGTCTCGCCCGAATCCTATAAGTGACAATGTACTTTACTTAATGATACGTCGTTTCGACAAAAGTAATAAAAGTAAGAGACGCGATACGCACGTCGCATTACGTAATATTTGTAATAATGGGAAGTTCATTAAATATTGCAATCTCTTTTGAAGTTCTTTGTGATAAAACACGTTTTTACGTGATTATGCCGAATAATAGTTGCACAATCAACTCTTTTTGTCGTCATATTCGAAACATTTCGCAAAAACAGGGATTCAAAATTTTTTGGCGTATCATCGCGCGTTTTCGAGAATTTTTGCATCGTTGAATAAATGTTTATTAAATATTTTGTCCAAAAAGATTGAATTCTCCTTGAATCCATTGAAGATTTTTATATAAAATTAATTTTATTTAGCACGACTAAGTACCGTTCTAGACTTTTACATGTTATCTTATTTATATTTATTGGTTTTTATATTCTAGAGAGTCCATTATTGTTTTATTTGAAGATTTTTACTTGAGGTCGCAGGTTTCAGTATCTAATTATGGAGTAAAGCTATTTATATAACTTATCTAAATTCAGATATATGAAAAAAAATGAGTCCATAAATTCCTGAAGAGTTAAAAACTATTCAGATTATTCAAATTATAAAAAATTTGATAGAAAATTGATTATACAATATGTAAAATTTTATTGAAATTATATTTCCATATATTTTTCTATGTACATAACATAAATAGAAAAAATAAATATAATATGTTCTACAAATATTTAGAAACAAATAAAAGAAAATATTTTTCGATTTTGATAAACGAACATTAAACACAATAATATAATACGTTGATATGATAACTTCTTTTGGTTATAACGATAACGTTATGATCATTAATATTTTTTCAGAATCAAGAAAAAATAGATGATTCTTCGAAAATATAAATCATTTAGATAATTTGGATATTCGGAAAATTAATCGGATAATATATATAATTTTGATAATTTAGATAATGAAATGATTTAGATAATTAAGAATTGATTATTCGTATAAATTCGGATCTATAATATTATGTCTTAAAAAGAGTTATAAAATTATAACAAAAATATACTAACATACATGTTATTTACAATAAACAACAAATACAAAAATTACATGATTTGTATGAATTGTATAAATATTCTTGTTATGAATTATTCAACTCTTTTATATTTGTTTATATAATCTCATGCACTTCTCTCGCAATACAGACGAGAACCCTCGCGAGTTTTGAACGTGGTACTTGACGCACAGCGTCCGCACCTGCGATACGCGTCCCCCTGCCCCTTACCCTCTTTCCCAACCCTACGTCTCTCACCACGGGAATGATAGTTCCCCCACATTGCGGCCGGCAACCCCTCCATTCCGCCGCGCCGCGTTTCCGAGTCCTGCTCAGTCGGAGTTAGATTCAGTACGTGGTGCGCCGCCGTCGGGTGAGGTGTTGTGTCGGTGTGTGCGAAGAGTGAAAACGATAGAAAGAGAGATAGAGCGAGAGAGACTTCATAGTGTTCGTTGTCTCGCTCTCAAAGTCGCGAGCGAACGTGACGTGCGGCGCGCTTTAAAGCGAGGAAGAGAAGGAGAGAAGAGAGTGCGGTAAAAAAAAAAAGAGAGCGAGCGAGCGAGCGAGCGTGCGTGCATGCGTGCGTGCGTGCGTGCATGCGTCCGTCCGTCTGTCCGCGCGCACGCGAGTGTTTCCTCCTCCGTAACGCTTTCGGTCGGTGTGTCATACTACGTCGCGCGTGTCCGCCGCCTGGTATTACAGTATCTCTCGATACATCGCCGTGTTGGCTTCTGGCTCTCGCGCTTCTACGGCCGCTCTCGTACGTCACACACGTACACACACGGATACGCGGGCGGTCGCACGCGAGAGAGAGAGTGCGCGCGCGCGCGCGCGCGCGTGTGTGTGTGTGTGTGTGTGTGGTGGTGCGCGGATACTACACGCGCGTACACGTACACAGGAAATACACGACGTGGAGGCATGACAGCGACGCGGGAGTGTTACCCCATACGGTAGGAACCAACTCTATACACATTGTGCTCCTCTTCTCCGTGATAGTGATTGCGGTCGTCGCGACGACGACGACGACGACAACGACGACGGACGACAGACGACGAGGACGGACAACGACGAGGACGAGGACAACCGAGAGCTGGGCGGTGACTAAAGACTCTCTACACGGCGGCTCTACACGACCTCGGTTATCAAGTGCGTAAAAGTGTAACTCGGCTCGCCACGACCCACGACGGCCGCGACTTAGCCACAATTATTTTGTCCGAATCGATACGCCCCTCCCCCCCCCCGT